TGGGTGTTTTCCGTGGGCCCCCGTCTGGCGTATTTGTGCAGGAGCGGCCTGTGTTGTTTTAGGGCCGTGGAGCCACACAGATTACAGACGCTGTTCCGGGTCAGTGAGAAGTCGTGCAAGTGAGTGCGCTTTTTTCCCATGGCGCTGAGAAAACTGAAGATACCAAGAAGGTGGAGCACTGAAACTGATAGAGGTAATCAGATGTGCTCATTTTATGAAGGGGAAGAAAAAACACTCACAGTTTGAGGCAGTTTGTACTTGTTTATGTGCCATTTTCGTTTTCATTTTGAGTTTTTGGTATTTGTGTTGCATGTCTTATAGAACTTTTATTTAAATTGTTTTTTTTTATTATTTTACTCTTTAATTTTTTTATTGTTTATTTTATTTAGATTTATTTTATGTCCAAAAAAATGAAAAATCTCCAGTCCAAGTAAAAAAAAAACTCAGTATTTGTACATTTTTTACATTTATGATTTTTTATTTTTTTTAGTTTTAGTAAAGTTTTAGGTAATTTTGTTGCATGCTTTAGAGAAATTTTATTTAATTTGTTTTGTAGTTGTATTAATTTACTTATTTTTAATTCATCTATTTATTTATTTATTTATTTATTAATAAATTTTTATTTAGTTGATTTTATTTTATATTAATTAATTTGATTTATTTATTTTAATTAATTTGATTATTATTTTTTTATTTACCGATTATTTTATTTTATGTCTAATCAAAAAATGAACAACTTCCAGTTCAAGTAAAAAAAAAAAAAAAAAAAAACTCAGTTGGATTGGATTTGCATTTGTAAATTTAACATTTTCGATTTTCTTTAGTTTTAATTCAGTTTTTGGTAATTTTGTTGCATGTTTTACAGTGCTTTTATTTTATTTGTTCTGTAGTTGTAATTATTTTAATTATTCATTATTACATTTTTATGTATTTACTTGAAATTAACTTTAATTTAGTTAACATTTATTTTTGAATAATTAATTTAATTTCTTTATTTGAATGTACCTTTTTAATTGATTTTAATTTCTAATAAAAAAAAAATAACATCTTCCAGTTTAAGAGGATACTTATATATTATCATTTGTTTATAACTAATCAGATATTCGGAAGTATGTTACTATATTACATGAAATTTGTCTTTATTATATGCAAATCATCTTCAATTTTATGGTGCATTTTGGAACTTTTGATGATTGAAATACCTCGAGAACAGTTTGAGTGAGTTTGTGTTTCCATATTTTACATTTATTTTACTTTTTTTAATTTTAGTTGAGTAATTTTGTTGCATGTTTAACAATGCTTTATATTTTATATTAATTTATTCTTTAAATTATTTTATATATTTTTAATTGTATTTTAGTCTTTTTATTTTTTATTTTACTTGGCTATTTTTAGTTATCTTCATTTTACATTGTTAGTTTATTGTAATATTTTACTTTATTGTTTTAATTATTTTAAATATTTTCATTTTGACTTTTAATTTAATTTTACTCTTTATTTGACTATTTTAATTTATTTTAAATTATTTTTATTGTAGTATTTTACTTGAATGTACTATTTTACTTTTTTATTATTTTAAAAATATATTTTTAATTTGACTTCATATTTTACTATTTTATGATTTTACAATATTATTTTATTGTACTATTAAACTTTATTTTAAATTATTTTACATATCTTCTTTTTATTTTACATTATTTTTATTAAAATATTTTAATATACACTATATATATATATATATATATATATATATATAGTATTTTCTTTTACTATTTTTTATTTTATTTTACTTTAGTCTTTTATTTTTTACTATTTTACTTTATTTTAATTTATAAATGTATTGTACTATTTTACCATTATTTTTAAATTTTATTTTACTACTGTATTTAATTTTACTTACAATCCAGTCCAGATCAACTCACATAACATAAATTTCCACTACAGAAATTGTACAATCAAATGTAAAATACTCTTCACCGGATAAATTAAATAAAATTAATCCAATAATAATAAAACAAATAAATAACACAAGCAGCTATTAATAAACATTTCAATGAATCAATCCACAAAACACATGTAATCTGAACAGCTCAACTATCATTTGACTTGACAATACACATCCTGCAATGCAAGTATTGCGGATGCATAAAATCTCAGTGTGTTGATGCTGTAACTCTATATTGAGCAGCTCAATCTATATTTATCACAATGAACTGACAGGACACACAGTCCTACAGTACATCCACAAAGCCATGTTTTTGTCAATTTAATTTAAAATAAAATACATCAATAAATCAATTATAACTGGTGCAACTGTTTATTAACCCCTGGTAGAAATAAAGCAATAAACAAAAGATCAAAACCCCTACATTTGACTTTAAGCAAGAGAGAGATGACATATAAAAGATCACATGCATGACATCTTGCTCCTGCTTACTGCTAATGTACTGCCAGTCATCACTTTGTTTACAGTCTGATTTGACTTATTAACCATTTAAAGGGCGTATAATCTAAAATGTTCTTCAAATGCTGTAAATACATGCAGAAAGAAGCAACAACCACACAGATGTGTCATTTAAAAACCCAATGAAGTTCCCTTCAACATGCCAGAAGAAGCATCTTGAGCACGGCATGTTTCATAGCTCAACGTGCGCTTGATTCTAAAGTGACAAATAGCTTTACTCGGGGAGGAGAAATGTCTGAAAGTGGCTGGCAGAGACCAGGCCCGGATTAAGAACTCAGGGGCCCCTGGGCACATTGTCTTGTAAGGCCCCCTACCTGGCCATATATATATATATATATATTATATATATATATATATATTTTTTTAAGGGTATTTTAATGTATTGCTTTTACAAACTTATAAAGCATATTATTGCCATGGCATATAACGCACAATGCTTCTCCAATCCAGTTCTATGAATCTGAGTCTTTCATAATACAAACACTGATTTACTGTCTCTCTCCTCCTCTCCCTGTATTTTCTCTACTCTTCTCGTGATGAAGACTTGATTATAAACCTAAAAGTATCCGAAATCACACACACTATACCTCTTCTCTCCCGTCTCTCTCCTCTTCTGGGCCTTTCTCTCTCTCTCTCCCTCTCTCCTTTTCTGTCGGTCTCTCACACGATGAATCCAGTCCGCGCTGCGCTGCCGTTAGCCTCCTCCGCCTTTTTAATGCTAGCTATTCATCATTTAAAGTTACCATAACAACTTCTTCTGTACCCTCATTCTCCTGATCATGGGTCTGTTTAAATATGGTGTGTATGGAAAATGCCTCAATAAAGATGCCTCCTCTCCTCTTTCTCTCGCGTTTGCTAAATCCACTTGTCCACTCATTTTTGATCTATGGCAGATATAACGTACACCACAGTCCGCTCAGTTTAGTGGGGGTTATTACAAAACGGACGTTTCCGCGCTTGACCAATTACAGTATTCTGTTTAGTTAAAGAAAGAAAGGCAATTTAAATATGATAATAATATTAATGTGTTCGCGATTTTTTTTCTCAGAGGAAATACAGTTGTCTGAGCAATATAGTTTTTGCAGAGTGGGAGGTACCTATAATAATAAGGCTAAACATTATTAAATGCCCATGAGCCACTTGTGACTTTATATCACATTTGCATTATTTTAAAAAAATGTTTCCTTCCTGTTAAAAATAAATATATTTTTTTAATCTGATATGTAATGGGGAAAAAAAAAAGTAGCACGAGTTCAACTGATGGTGGATTCGAACCGAGTTTATGATTAATCGCGTCAAAAGATGATGCTGTGCGCCTTACAAGGTGCGCCACTGTGACTTATTAATAGCAGCTCTATACTCATCTTGTCTCTATCAATCAGGCATCGATGGGCGTAATCCCTGAATAGCTTATTCCAACAAGATGCGCTATTTGCATTTAGCCAAAAAAGACACTCCGAAATTGTCTTTTTTTTTTCTCCCCCCTCGCAGGGGCCCCTAGTGCGCACGCGCCCCTGGGCCTGTGCCCATAAGGCCCATTGGTTAATCCGGCCCTGCCCTTTATGCAATATATGTTTTCTATTGTCTGCAGAAGAAACTACTGTTATACAATGACTTGCCTAATTACCCTAATTAAGCCTTTGAATCGCACTTTGAATTTGAATGCTAGTATTTTGAAAAATATCTAGTCAAATATTGTGTGCTATCATCATAGCAAAGATTAAAAAAAATCAGTTATTAGAAATGGAGTTATTAAAATTATTATGTTTAGAAATGTATTGAAAAAAATCTTCTTTCCATTAAACAGAAATTGGAGGAAAAGGGTTGCTAATATTAGCTAATAATTCGGACTCCAACTGTATACAGTTTTTTCCTCCCAGCAAAGGAAAGAGAAATAAAAACAATAGAATAAAAAATAAGAAACAAACTGTGCTTTAAGCATCTTCACTGAAAGAAAACAACTTAAGCTACAAAAGTCCTTCAGTCAAGAGCAGCGAGGGATTTTCTCCTTATTTAAATAATGATGATAAAAACAGGTGGCAGCAGGAATACTCCGCGCTTTCACTTTAATGGTTTCTCTTTCACATGTCTTTTGATTCTCAACTCGTTTGTTTATTACACAAATGAAGGTTAATATGAATAATCACTAAACACCGCGTTTTGACACCTATTTGACCATTAAAGCGCTCGCATTAAGATGGCTTTAGATGCTCTGCTCGTCAGTGTGTGAATGAAAGCGAATGCTGACCGCATGCTTCTGTGTCTGTGCGCCGCACACACGCAGTTTGCGCTTTTAAGAGCAACAAATGTTAACAACTGGAAAGGGGGGGTAAATAATGAAATAATCGTTAACCTCGATTAATGGTTTTTCATAATCGTTAGAGGCCAAAATCGAAATCGGATTTTCGATTAATAGCACAGCCCTAGAATTTCATTCAGTTAATACTATAGACTGCTGTAGCGTTCATTAAAGGAGTTGTAAATATTACAATTACAACTTAAATAAAACAAGAGATCAGAGCATGAGAACACTCACAGTCGATGTTGTTCTGCAGGACTCTAATGCACTGCTCATACAGGGACATCATTTTGGGCAAATATGCAGTCTTGGACCCGGAGTACACCACCATTTTAGAGTTCAGCCGTCGCCCTGTGTAGCCACCATCCTCTTCCTCATTTGACACTGGAACTGGAAGAAAAAAACATGTTGGTTTTAAACATACTGACAGAATAACTGGGATTTTTACACTTATTTAAAATTAAAGTCAGGTTTTATTTTGTCTAACTGATAGTGGGATCACACTTGCCATTTTATTCTTTTGGTTAGTTTGGTCCTGAAAAAAAAAGTTTAGAGTTTACATTGTTTTTTTTTACCTAAAAATACTAAACAAATAAACACCGGTCTGATATATTGTGTTACAGAAATAAACATCCAAAACAACTGCTCAAAACTCACTGTATTAGAAGACTTTTACAATTTAAAAGAAAAACGTACATCTTAAATCTATGACTCTGAAACGTGTGCTCTTAGAGTGGGTCATCATTTTAGCACTAAAACTAGCTCCTGAATCAGTAAACATTAGGAGTGAAGAAGAGGACTCATAAGTCACTCTGAGCAACCCAAACACTGTCCTAAAATGGCTGTTCTCAGCAATCTGCTGACCACATTTGACCACGATGAGCTTTTTTTTTTTTAGATTTATTTTTGGCATTATTGCCTTTATTTGACAGGACAATAGTTTGACAGGAAGTGAAGTGGGAGAGCGAAAGAAGCAAGATTGGGAAAGGTCAATGAACCAGGATTCGAACTCGGGACGCCCGGCGCACTTCCGCTTCATATGTAAGCCCGCTAACCAATGGGCTATTGTGCCGACAACCGCAATGAGCTTTTAAAAAGATAACTGCCTTAATTATGAAGGCATTCCCATATGATCAGAAATAGATTTTTAAATATATTTGTAAAAAAAAAAAATTTTCAATAAAGATCTATCATTTTGGTGATTTTTATATATTTTTTCTAAATATTTTTAATTATTTAAATTTTTCCATTTTGTCCTCCAATTACATATGCTTAAGAAACAATGAAATGTTTGTTAATGTATGAAATATGGTGTAATAAATTTGGAACATTTAACATTTTGATACTGCTTTAACATTTAAGTAATAATGTTATAAAAAAATTAAAGGTCCTGTTTGACTCGGATAGAAATGATATTCTTTATGATTACTTTGTGATTTGCATGTGTTGAGATTTATGTTGATTTGCAATATCAAGTCAAGTAATTAAATTACTTATAACATATAAATGAAATTACTTTTCAGACAAATTAGATTATGTGAATTACAACTATACATCATATGTACAACAATTTTTATTATGTAATTAGTAGCGCAAATGTTAATCAAATCCAAAATAAAAGATAGTTTTGAATATACATATATATACACGCAACAGTTCTGTCTGATTCTTGAACCTGATTGGCTGAAAGCCATGCAATATTTCGCCAGTAACATCCCACAAAGGCCTCTTCACCTTTCACCTTTGTGTATTACTCCGCCCACATACACCCAGCAACAGAGATACGCTACAGTTTGACAAATATTACTGTTGTTAGACAACAAAATGTACTTTTGAGGCTTTTTTAATCGACAATGTAGTTGTTTAGATTGCAACTATGCAATTTATTTGTAAGAATAGTCCCTATTTTTAAATATTTACAATTTCTGAGAGAGCTCTGAGAGTCTGTAATTAGTATCATATAGATATACATTTTACATCTAACTAGAAATAAACATCTCAAATATATACATGCATGTATATAAATAAATATACACAGTACATACACACATATATTATGTCAAAACAAACATTTATTTTGGATGTGATTAATCTATTCATTTTTGCCCAGCACTAGTAATTAGTGATGAATTACTTGTTAAAGAAACGTACCCAAAATCAATCAAAATTTGTTTTTATGTAAATTTATTCTTAAACTTGCGCTTAAAGTCAAAAACGCGTACCTTTGCGTCTCTGGGGGGAGAGTGGCGTGAGGTCAATGGAGGGCAGTGGTCTGTAGAAGGGCTGAATAGCTGGCAAAGGGATATCAGGAAGTGTGGGAACCACATCCACAACCTGAGGAGACATTTAGAGAACATCAACCCTTCAACACCTTGCAGAAAAGCTGATTCCCCATCACCCGGCCAGAAAAACAGGTTGAGCCTTACCTTCTTGCGTTTCTCTGGAACAGCAGGTGTGGTCACTGAGGAAGAGGATGAGGATGGCTTTGAGCGTTTACTGCTGGTCCCGTTGGCTTTGCTGGACTTGGAGGAGGAAGCAGAAGGAAGCGGGGCAGGGGGCTGAGGGGGTCGGGAGGGCTGCTTTTTCTTTTTAGTTGGGGTGGGAGCGTCATATGTAAGAAAGGATTCAAAAGACATGGTCGGAGCCTCATAAGGCTCTTCATCCTCATCCACTGGCCCTGGAACTTCCCTCCTCTCTCTTGATTTTCCTGTTAGACAAAAGTACATGCAAATTTTTTTTTAGGAAAAGAAATATTTAACTACTTAATATTTATAGCAATATTAAAAAAAAACACAATTTCAGCTAAATGCATGTCTTTTAACATCTGTATTTTAAATAAAAATATTTATAATTCATACATATGGAAACATTTAAACCTAACAAAAACCAAAAAATTATAGTATACAAGCACCAAATCAGCACATTAAAATGATTTCTGAAGGACCATTGAGGGAAAAAAAGAGCTAAATAATGCAGATAATTCTAATTTAAAAACACTTTCTATTTGATTTGACTATCAAAGAGAAAATAGTCTTTTAAATGGAGTGCAACAGATTTCAGAAATCAAATCTCCATGCATTTTTTCCCCAAATGGAAAGCATAATAATAACCATAACTAGCGTCAGACGGAATTTTTTGCTATTTCTGCAGAGAATTTTGGTAAAAGTCTGCAGATTTGTGTGGAATTATTCTGAAGCATCATAACTAAAACTTTAATATATTAAATAAAAAATAATATCTTTTTAACTTTTATTTAATGTTTAAAATGCAAATCCAATTAGATTAACTTTATTTGGCAAATAAAGCAAGTTTGTCTTATAATATATCTAGTAAAAGACACATTAGTCAATGATATTACTGAAATTAATTAAAAACTGAATAAAAATAGATTTACATAATTTACCCAAGTAAATAAACAGAATTAATGATGGGCTAAAAATCTGCAGAAAATCTGTGGAAAACCTGCGGAATTCTGCGTGTGCAGATTTCGAGTGGGCCTGACCATAACACTTAAAGATAGCAGTGTGTTCTGAGGCAGTTAAAAGACTATATGTATATGCTTGTTGAACCAAACAGGTCACAATTATTTAGATTTATTTTTAACAATTCGTTCATTTATTGATTTTCTTTCAACTTAGTCCCTTATTTATCAGAGGTCGCCACAGCAGAATGAACCGCCAACTATTCCAGCATATGTTTTAAGCAATGGATGTCCTTTGAGCCAGTATTGGGAAACACCCATACACTCTTGCATTCACACACACATACAATACGGCGATTTTACTTCATCCAATTCACTTATAGCGCATGTGTTTGGACTGTGGGGGAAACCAGAGCACCCGGAGGAAACCCACGCCAACACGGGGAGAACATGCAAACATGCAATAAATACCACTATAACACATAAACCCCCAGTTTCACAAACAAGGTTTAATGCTAGTCAAGATTAAACTGCATGTTTGAGCTGTCTCAACTGAAAAAAAGTTGCAGTGAGATGTCTTAAAATACATCAGTGTCTTTTTTGTCTCCAGGTGCACACCAGTAATATACATTTCTAAGGTCATTTTTATAAATGTGGCTTAAATAGCCTAATTTAACAAAGGCCTAGTCCTGGCTTAATCTATGCCCTGTTTGTGAAACTAGGCCAAAGAGTTTTCATGTAATTTTCTAAACTGGTAGCGTTTTGAAATTAATGAATGCAGAATAATCGACAGTGATAACAGTGAAACTGTGATGATTCTTCAGACTATAATCGTACAACTAAAATCTATAATTGTTTCATCTCTACTTGAAATAAAGAATTTTTAAATAGATTTTTCCTAAACAATAAAAATTAATATCAAATTTCTGACGAAATAAAAAAAACTCCCATTAAAACAGCGTAACAGTCTTGTCAAGTATATTTAGTACAAGAAACAAATGTCACTGTACTGCAAAAAAAATAATAATAATAAATTACAGTATATTTAAAGGTGCAGTAGGTGATTGTCTTCAGAAATATTTCTTGGTGTGCTGGTTGAAAGTCTCTTCACATTCCAATAGTAATGACTAAAGTAAATGATCTGAACGTATTTATATGTATTTTTATATTTTGGGTAAGGCAAAAAACAATAAAATTTCATCCAATTAAATAGAGTCGGGCCGACATCTCCCATAAATCCGATAAGTAGCCCAATCTGTCTGCCAGCAAATTGAGATTTGCAAACAGCTCCGCCGACCGATGTTTGTGCATAGATGTGGTTTGGGCATTCACAAGAGAGCACAAGAGTGCGCAATCGGCAAAAACATGCCGAATCAAAACTTTTTAAAAAACCTGAATCAATATTGGATTTATCTTTGCATGGTGGAGAAATGTTGACACCATGGCTGAAGGATTTCTCTTAGACAGGTAATGTTTTGTTTTATAACTATTTTAGCTTCACGCAAAGCTGATGTAACTTTGGATGTTGTTGTAACAAATGGGTTATATCTTCACAGAAGTGTTGTTCAGCCACTAAAATCTTCCAGTGAAAGATTGATAAGAGTATTTTCAGTTTCATAAAGGACCTTTTACAGCATCGATGATGTAGATTTTAATTAGTTTAACAACAAAACACAAGTGAATAGCGCTATTCTGCCTAGTCTCTCCCTATATTGTTTACCACGCAAATCTAATGCCCCATTCACACGGGGCGTAAGCGTCAACGCTTCCCATTCACTTTGAAAGGGTGACGTCAAGCGTTGCCGAACTGCATTGTGGATCCGTCGGCGCCGCTTCAGAGGCATTGCTCGCTGCAGAAGTTGGGACTAGCTCAACTTTTTAAGCGCCGACGGAAGCGTTAGCCAATCAGATCGCTGTATGCAAATACACCAGCTAGACGGTGGCCTATTGCTGACTGAATTTCATTGGCTGACACTGCTATGACGATCGCTTCAGATCCAACTTCAGACACGTCTTTCGTCGAGCGTTGACGCTGAAGCCCCGTGTGAAGCAATCCTCATAGCAGCGTCAGCCAATGAAATTCAGTCAGCAATAGGCCACTGTCTAGCTGGTGTATTTGCATACAGTGATCTGATTGGCTGACGCTCTGTAATAGCATGTCAGTTTGGCTTAGTAATGAGTGTAATTCCTGCACGCCGTCGGACAAGGCAAGCACTAGTCGCTTTTAACATATGAGAGAGGGTTCTGCTGTCATCTTTAAGGTGCGCGTGCTCCTGTTTTAGGAGGCGTGCCTTTGGACGGCAGGGGAGGGACTGTGACTCAGAGATTTATGCTAAGCTGTTAGCATTGTGGAAGATCACCTACTGCACCATTAATAAGGGTATTTTTGGCCATAATTACTTTTATCTGAAAAAAGGCAGTAAAGCACCTATCTTGTATCTTCAATAAGTAACAAAAAAAAAAACTCTTACTAAACCAGCGTAAATGTTAATGGCACTGTAAATTATGATAAAAAAAATATACAGTATTCCTAAATAAGTGTATTGTTAAAAATTGCTTTTATCTGCCAAAAAGAAAGGCATTAAAGCAACTTCCTTTTGTCTTCAATACACAAATGTCATGTCAACCACAACAACAAAACAGAAAATTAAAGCATTCTCACCATCACTTCCCCCTTTCTTCTCCCTCTTGCCCTCATGTGAGCTTAAAAGCCGATCGTGTTTAGATCTGTGACTCGTCCCGCCCTGTTGTTCCCTGTCCGCTCGGTTAGTCCTCTCCTCGCCCCCGGGCCTCTGTTTTCGTCTCTCCTGATCCCGCAGGTCCTGGGAATTGTGCTCTCTGACTGGCTCTTTGTGTGGCTTGCTGTGCCGAATGTTATTTGGTGGAGGACTGGGCTCCGGCTCGTCCTCCGGAGGGCTTTCGTATTCATCTGACTGATACTGCGGAGCGCTGCTGTGTCTGTACTGTGGAGGAGACGGCGAGTAGCCATGTTGGTAGCCCATTTCTTCATGTTGTTCCTCCTCCATAAGAGGAGGCTCCACTGGAGAGCGTTCCCGGACCCGTCTGTGGCCGGCAGACTCACTGATGCGCGAGTGGGAACGTCCATCTTTTACACTTGGTCTTTCGGTGAACATCAAACATAAATAGATTTATTAATCACTTATATTAGAGGACAATACCACACATTGAGCATCACACAGTTAAAGTCAGAATTATTAGCCCTCCTGACTTATTAGCCCCCGTGTTTTTGTTTTTCCCTAATTTCTGTTTAACGGAAAGAAGATTTTCTTCAACAAATTTCTAAACATAATAGTTTTAATAACTCATTTCTAATAACTGATTTCTTTGACCTTTGCCATGATGATGACAGTAAATAATATTTGACTAGATATTTTTGAAGATACTACACTGCTTGACAAAAGTCCCAGTTGTAAGAGCAACAAATAACAACTTGTTTTCTAGTTTTCTAGACTTCTAGTTGATCATTTGGAAAAGGGGCAGAAGGTGGATTTTTCTAATGAATCATCTGTTGATCTGCATCCCAATCATCACAAATACTGCAGAAGACCTATTTTAACCCGCACGGACCCAAGATTTGCACAGAAATCAGTCAAGTTTGGTGCAGGAAAAATCCTGGTTTGGGGTTACATTCAGTATGGGGGCGTGTGAGAGATCTGCAGAGCGGATGGCAACATCAACAGCCTGAGGTAAAGACATCTGTGGTGCCCATTACAATACAAACCACAGAAATTCTCCAGCAGGATAGCGCTTCTCATACTTTAGCCTCCATATCAAGTTCCTGAAAGCAAAGAAGGTCAAGGTGCTCCACGATTGGCCAGCCCAGTCACCAGATATAAACATTATTGAGTGTGTCTGGGGTAGGATGGAGGAGGCATTGAAGATGAATCCAAAGAATCTTGATGAACTCAGGGAGTCCTGCAAGAACGCTTTCTTTGCCATTCCAGATGACTTTATTCATAAGTGATTTGAGTCATGGTAGAGATGTATGGATGCAGTCCTCCAAGCTCATGATGGAGTCAGACACAATATTCATTCTGTTTCCACTGCAGCATGACTTTATATTCTATACTGGATATTATTTCTGTTCAGTGATGAGACTTTTGTCTAAGCAAAGTCAGACCTTACTGTCCTAATTAAATCAATAATAATCAAGGCATGATCATATTTTACTTTGGTGAAACAAGCATAATCTAGAGGCCTTTGCCTTTCATATAAGCCACTTCTAATACCAAATGATCAACTAGGAGTCAAGTTATTATTTGCTGTTTCTAAAACTTGGATAGGCGACAAGACTTTTGTCAGGTAGTGTAGTATTCAGCTTAAAGTGCAATTAAGGCAGCTAATAATAATGACCCTAAAATGTTTGTTTGTTTTTTTATTAAAAATGGCTTTTATTGAAGCCAAAATAAAACAAGTTTTTTCTGCAGAAATGTCTTATCTCTGGGCTCCCTGCAACCCGTCAGGTTGGTACTGGTACCGAACTCAATTGTTCTGACAACCTTAAGTTCTATAGAACTTTAAATAATGTAGAGTGTGTCAAAGCAGCCTAACATAAATTAAGAAACGAAAATAAAAATCCATAAAAATATTTCAGATTGTAAAACATTTTAGCAAGTACAGCAGACAGGAGAGTGTAGCTCTAGTTAAATTAAAACAGATTTAGTTCAGTTTGGTATAAATTTCACTGTTTGAGTTCAGTTCAGTTAATGATATTCTAAAGAAAACAGACATTTCGGTTTTCAATTCTTTACTAAGAAAATCTGCAGCACATGCTTTGACAAAAATATATGTGAATTCAAGCATTTATTTTACACCTATGTATAAAAATCACACAATTCCTGTTATCTAAAAATGTAAATAGAAATGACAACATTTCTTCAGAAGGCTAACCTGTCTGCAGATTTCTCTGGCACCAGCTTTTTCCACTTTGCCACAAGGTTCTTCGCTGCCTCACCAGCATATTCATGCTTGCGCAAAGAATTCACAGTTTTTCCAATGCCTGTTTCCTGCAAGAATCAGAAAAAAAACAAACACTCAAAGATGGAGAAGCAGCTGCACTTAACAACCATTAGACAAAACCCAAGAATAACGGTTTTAAACTTATAAGCAATGTTTTGGTCTTACCACCAGAATGTCTACCGTCATAGGAAGCTCCCCCAGCCTCTTCAGAGTTTTCAGAAGCTAGACAGCACAAGATGAAAGATAGATGATGTTCAATAAAAATATGCGTAACACAAGGTGTAATAGCAGGAATTAATTTGATTTTTTTGTTCATAACAATAAGAACTAAAATTCAGCAATGATTTAAAGAATTACCAAAACAAACATCTTTAAAAACTTTAAACACTTTAAAAGTGTCAACGATACATGAAAAGATGGTGATACATAAACAAAACGGCCATATAAACACAAAATACAAATGAAGCATACAAAAAGTCGCTTAATTATAAAAAAAACTGATTATCCAGGACGATATATACTCATTTTAATGAATGCCATGGTATATGTCCAAAAACATGGTAGTTTGTTGTACAAAGATACAACAATAGTGCTAAAGTTATTAGCTAGCTGTAAACCATCCAAGACTCACTTTTGATGGCAGAATTACCAACAAACATTTAAGTGTTCTTTAGAAGTGTGGATAATACATAAACAATACACAGCCATTTAGACGTAATAAATTAAGTATACAAAAGTCACTCAAATATAGATTTAGAAATACTGGCATCCGATTATGCAGAATGAAATTTACTAATTTCAACGAATTCCATGGTACAAATCCAAAAACATGGTATTTTGTTGTAGACAAAAAGAGCAATAGTCTTAAAGTTAAAAGCTAGTTGTAAACTGTCCATGACTCACTTTTATTGGCAGAATTACCAAAACAAATATCTAAGTGCACTTTAAAAGTGTCCATGATAGGATAACATATAATAGGATGATACATAAACAAAACACAAAAACCAAGTATACAAAAAGTTACTCAGCTAAATAAAAAGCAGGCATCTGATTATCCCAGATGGTATTTACTCAATAAAATGAATGCCTTGGTACATTCACATGACTATTTTGAGTTATTACTTGGATTAATTTGTTGTACACAAACAAAACAATAGTCTTAATGTTTTTAGCTAGCTGTAAACCATCAAACACTCACTTTTAATGGCAGAATTACCAAAACAAGCATTAAAGTGCACTTTAAAAGTGTCCATGATAGGATAATATATAATAGGATGATAGAGAAACAAAACACACAAACTAACTATTCAAAAAGTGACTTAACTATTAATAAAAAAAATTAAAAAACTGGCATCTGATTATCCAGGATATTGACTCATTTCAACGAATGCCATGGTAAATGTTTAAAAATTATTTTGAGTTATTACTTGGACTATTTTGTTGTACATAAACACAACAATAGTCCTAAAGGTATTAGCTAGCTGTAAACCATCAAACACTCACTTTTAATGGCAGAATTACCAAAACAAGCATTAAAGTGCACTTTTAAAGTGTCCATGATAGGATAATATATAATAGGATGATACATAAACAAAACACACAAACTAACTATTCAAAAAGTGACTCAACTATTAATAAAATAAAAAAACTGGCATCTGATTATCCAGGATATTGACTCATTTCAACGAATGCCATGGTAAATGTTTAAAAATTATTTTGAATTATTACATGGACTATTTTGTTGTACACAAGCACAACAATAGTTCAAAGGTATTAGCTAGCTGCAAACCATCCAAGACTCACTTTTAATGGCAGGATTACCAAAACAAGCATTTAAGTGCACTTTGAGTATCAATGATACACAAACAAAGCACAGCTATATAGACAGAACATACCAATTAAGTATCCAAAAAGTCACTCAAATATAGATTGGGAAATACTGACATCTGATAATCCAGGACAATATATACTCAGTTTAATGAATGCCATGGTAAATGTCTAAAACATAGTATTTTGTTGTACACAAATACAACAATGGTGCTAATGTTATTAGCTAGCTGTAAACCATCCGAGACTCACTTTTAATGGCAGAATTACCAAATTACCTAAACAAACATGTAAGTGCACTTTAAAAGTGTCGTCGTGGCCTACAGAGAAACAAGGGGGTGCATCGACCAGAAGTGTGGGCAGTTTCCACCAGTTGAGCAGCCTATCTAGACAACATTCTGAGGCATATAAACCATTCTAACACCAAACAATACCATCTACTTAGCCAGCTCACGAGATTTTGAAACATAAGCTATGTACAACAAAAAAGAAATCGTATTTTATAGAGTATCATGTACTCACGGCCTGTCTACATCTGTCACTGATATCCTATTAAATCGCTGTGTTGTCATTTCTAATAGCTGAACACTAGCTTCGGAGAAAGTGTCTGATTTCGCTGAATCAATCGACTGATTCGGGGAACATTTGATGAAAACTGTACGTTTCAGATTGAGCTGCCCAACCGATCAACCATTTCACGGTCTGCTGCGGTTGTAATTGTTATCCGTGGGATTTCTGGATAGCAAACGGAACACGGTTTTCATGCTAACGCTAGACACTAGCATCTGTTTAAGACAGCTATCCGTGGGGCGAGGGGGTCGACGCTAATCGCTAGCTTCGTCTAAAAGACTGGCTTTCATACCTTGCGAGGCTCTTGATTGTCTCCGAGCCTTAACTGCAACTTCTCGACTGCTTCCAGTATCTCCTCCGCCATGTTTACAGCTGGTACATGTTGCCCGGAAGCCGCAGCAGCAGCGGTGGGGGCCTGCTGTTGTTTCAGACTACTGCGAACTTCCGTCTCTCCAAATGGAGACTCCGGAAGAACGTCACACTAGTGGTCATTAAGTCATCCTGATGAGGTCAACAGTTTTATACCTTCTCATTTTCCTTGCTGAATTTTTCCTCTCTATAGCGCTGGAAAAATGTTATATTTTTGATGCATAATGACATTTTATTGCACTTTTCCCTTTTTTTGGGGCCATTGATGATGTCATAGCATAATTCATGCAACATATTTTGTCTCTTAAACTTATTACTAATAAGAATAAAAAAAATTTTAAGCCTAATGAGATTTTGTAAAAAAAAAAAAAAAATGTTTTGGTCTTTCACCTACCTTTTATTACTGTTTTCTATTTCAGTGTTGTAATGAAATTCTTTCTTGTTCTATTTCTGCCATGGCCACTCTCTTGATTTAGTATGGTAATGTATATGTAATCCCGTTGGTCCTACATCACCCGACCCACTCTGAGCTTATAACGAGCCGGCGACCTTCCACATGGGAGTCGGGTGCTCTACCGAAGAGGCTAAAGACCATGGCCTCTAGCATCTGTCGCTAGAGCACCTTTAGAGGTCAGTGGAGTGAGGTTTACTTGCACAGCACTTACTAGCTGGCCTCTGTTACACTCACCCCCCTAAACCGCACTCCCATCCGGGTCACGGCACCAATACAACCCTGCCGGTCCTACATCACCCAACCTGCTTCGAGCTGGGATCGAACCAGTGACCTTCCACATGGGAGTCGGGTGCTTACCTGCACAGCACTTACTAGCTGGCCTCTGTTACATATATGTATATGATAAGGTTGATATATGTGGTCTTGGCGTTGTAGATCTGCTACGCTGCTGCTTTAAATATTATGGCAGTGCAAGTATTGTACTGAGACCTAGCTGCTACTGCCAGCAAATACAAAGACATGCCATCTGAGAATATAACACGCTGCTGCAAACATAATATTTGTGCCGGAAGACACCGGATTCGGATCCTCTGAAATCTAATCCGGCACCTCATTTTACCGTTGCCCCTCCTCCTCGTCCGCTGTTTATTTTCAGTTTCTTCCGCGACTGCCCAAACTTCTTCAATTTTGTCTGCAACAACCAAAACCCCCCACGCTCTCCATTTTCGTGCGCGACACCTCTACATCCTCGGGTAACATGGGTACGTTACCCCGATCTGTTCCGGGACCTCGCAATTCACAAATTAAGCACTGTATGTATAACCCTTGTAGCAGATCTAAACACAGGTGGAGCTGGGGTGGAGGAGGTCTTCTTGCATATATATTATTGACCTTATTCACCACAGACGAGCGGGCGCTGCCATTTGAATCTTTTTGGCACGAGACTTCCGGTCTCATTCACTTCCATTCACTTTTAGACATTAAAAACTGCTCGTTTCGCTGTTTGATGTTGCAAACTGATATTTTCTTGTTATATTATTCTACTTGGTCTGTATAGTCATGCAAACATTTGTTTGTAAAGCAAGTAGTTTGACCGTTTTTTGCCGTTTATTATTCCTTGTCATTTCTCCCGTAGGCGACTGAAACGGAAGTTCTAAGACAATCGCGAAAACAGGCGCACTTCTGCATTTTAGAATGAGGTCAATATCTCAGTCTTTATGTGCAACAGTCAGTTTGTTTGTAATCTGCATTGAGCATCTTAAAAGTGGTTTAATTATTTAATTATTATTGTTTTAAATGACATAATAGCACCTACTAAAGAAACAGGAGTGAATCATCTAGGCAAAATGCAACCGATTGTTCAAGTCTTTCACAGAATAGAGGAATTAAGGCAGAAATGCTGTGTAATACTAATAATAATCTTATGTTGTTGTTGTTTTGAGCAATACCTGCTGAATATAATACATAATGTAACAATAACTTATATGATGAACAATGTTTCAGTCATGTTTAAATCAAAAATCATTTGATGACATTTAAAACTATATTTAAGATCACTAAAATAATTATTAGTTACTTTAAAGCTGTATACATCTGTCCTTAAAAATACTGGGTCTATTAATTAATTAATAGATAGATAGATAGATAGATAGATAGATAGATAGATAGATAGATAGATAGATAGATAGATAGATAGATAGATAGATAGATAGATAGATAGATAGATAGATAGATAGATAGATAGATAGATAGATAGATAGATAGATAGATAGATAGATAGATAGATAGATAGATAGATAGATAGATAGATAGATAGATAGATAGATAGATAGATAGATAGATAGATAGATAGATAGATAGATAGATAGATAGATAGATAGATAGATAAGCGCTAGATAAGGCATTAAGCGCTAAAGCCTAAGGAATTTTTCAAATGGCCCGGATGGAAAAGATTTTTATTTGCCCTATCAAAAAATGTTCTTTTATAATTTAATACATTTAATAATACAATAATACATTAATAATTAAAAAAAGAAATACTTTAGATGCAAAATATTTTTAATATTGTGTAAAAACAAGCAGCTCTACTTCTATCTATACACTTTTTTTACAACATAAACTTTATTTACAATAAAAATAAAATGTTTTAAAAGTTTTAAAAACTAAAATAAACTAAATCTACACAGAGAACATTTAAAGAAATGTTATTTAAGGAAAACAATTAAATAAAAAAAATAAATAAATAAAAAAACGCTTTATTGAGATGGATTATTGATGGACTATTGATTTTATGGGTTTTGGCCAGGTTCGGTAGCAATTTATGAACAAAGGAAACTTAAGATCTGTTTAAAAAAGATTGAAGACCTACAACACAATATTTCAGTAAATTTAAAACTTTTTAAGGCCTAAAATTTGGATTTTGAGATTTAAGACCTTTTAAGATAGATAGATAGATAGATGGATGGATGGATGGATGGATGGATGGATGGATGGATGGATGGATGGATGGATGGATGGATGGATGGATGGATGGATGGATGGATGGATGGATAGATAGATAGATAGATAGATAGATAGATAGATAGATAGATAGATAGATAGATAGATAGATAGATAGATAGATAGATAGATAGATAGATAGATAGATAGATAGATAGATAGATAGATAGATAGATAGAAAGACAGACAAAACAATTTAGTACAGTTCACATTGAAACCATTTTTATAAGTCACAAATAATTACAAAAACACACACTGAACCTACTCTGATATTCTGAAACAGAAAAGCTAAAATAGTATTATTTATTACATACAATACTATAGTATACATAACAACCACTACTGAAAAGCCCGTACAGATCTAAATAAGCAAAGGAATGCTTATATTGGGTGCAATAACTCAGCCTCTTTGTCCAATCAGATTGGAGTGAGGAGGACAGGACGGATATGGCCAGTGTTTTTTGGGGAGGGCGAACGGCTGTATATGGTGAAAGATCTGTAGGTGGGGTTGAGGACTGCTGGGATTGTGTTGCAGGGCTGTGGTTGGTTTATCTTTTTCACTAACTTCTGCTGCCAACAGAGCTCTGACTGACAGACAGACAGACAGGGAGACACACAGACAGGTTACACAAAGTGAAGGAAAACAGAGCGGATTCAAGAACTTAAGAGAAAGCAAATGAGAGATTAAGAAAGGACAAATAAGGAGAGCTGGAAAGGTAAAACATTCCCATATTTCCTTTAAAGAATGTACGGGACATAATCATGCATCTACATTACTTTACAAATTGATTTTTCAATGCATGAATGAGCTTCTCAAACTGAAAATAAAGACACATAGAAGAGCTAAATATAAACCTGACTTGCTTGGAAATTATTCAATCTTTGTGAGTTTTATTTAAACTAAAAACAAAAATGCATATACTTTAACTGCATGAATTGGCTTTACAAACAGAATAAAAAAAGAGCTGTGTGTATGAGCTTGACATGCCTGGATATGCTTCATTTATGCGAGTTTCATTAAATGTGATGCTGGAGCCCAAAACCAGTCTTATATTGAGCTGATATATTTGTGGGATTAGCCAAAAATGCATTTTACAAGCCAAATTACTGTTTTGTTATGCCAAAAATCATTAGAATATTACACTGTAAAATATTTGACCTAAAATTTATAGTAAATGCATGGCTAATAATTACAATACTTTCACAGTAATGTACTTGATTTTTATTTTGTGAAATTACAGTAACAGTTTGTGAAATTCTGGGAATTTATTACAGTTAAAGTAAAAATCATGTTTCATGACGACTTAAATTTCCTAATTTAAATATATTAAAACTTCATTTTTGAATAGTAAAATGCATTGATAAGAAACTAATTTGAACAACTTTAAATTTGAATATTGTTTTAATATAAATATTTTAAGATTTAAAATATTTAGAATTTTTCGAACCCTCAGATTCCACATTATCAAATAGCTTTACCGCAGCCAAAGACTGTCATATCCAATCAAACCGTACATAAATTAAAATAAAATAAATCACAATTTCAAAAACTAACCTTCATTACTGATTTAATTGTCCAGGGTCACAAATATAAACAAAACAAGACGCTTCAACTTTAAATGCATGAATTAGCTTAAATAAAGGTTAAAAAGAGCTGAATATTAGCCTAGAAAACTAAACAAAATAATTGCACAAATCACACACTATCAGTATGTCTTAATAAATGAAAATAAAATAATTGCAAAAAAAAAATAATGTAAAAACAATGTACCTTTAATATTGGTTTTGTGGTCCAGTGTCACAAAAATGCCAAACACAAGTTGCATTGACTTTAAATGCATGAATTAGCTCAAATAAACATCAAAAAGAGCTGAATATGAGCTAAGAAATGCTTCAATTTATTTAAGTTTTATTAAAAGCCAAACAAAACAATCTCACAATCACAGACTGTCAGTATCTCGTTATAAATGAAAATAAAATAATTGTGAAACATGTTAACAAATTTACCCTTTTTATTTGTTTTGTGGTCCAGAGTCAAAAATATAAACAAAACAAGATGCATCTAATTTAAATGCATGAATTAGCTTTTCAAATTTAGAATAAAGATAAAAATATTTGAATCTGAAAACCCTCAATATCTCATAATAAATTAAAATAAAATAATTGTAAAAAAAATTAAATAAAATGTTAAAACAATTTACCTTTATTATTGGTTTTGTGGTCCGGGGTCACAAACATAAACAAAACAAGATGCATCTAATTTAAATGCATGAGTTATCTCAAATAAAGATTCAAAAAGAGCTGAATATGAGCTAAGAAATGCTTCAAACTTTAAGAGTTTTATTGATAACTAAACAAAACAAAAAATCTTGCAATCTCAGACTCCTAGTATCTCTTATCAAAGGCATCCCACTGTAGTGTGGTGGTCTAAATATAAACAGCCCCCTGTCAAGAGTCAAAAACAGAGAATGACACGAGGGTTGCTTCTTACCCTCTATAAATAACCAGCAAAATGAGGAGCTTGGATGCAAATGCTTCAGCCGAACTTTCCAAGACATGGCAGCAGTGTTTTAGACTAAAGAAAGACAGACGGTCAGGCCTTCAGCTTTCAGCACTGACGTGTGTAACAGCTGCGTCTTTCCCGTCTCCTCTTACCCTCATCCTCTCGCTTTAATCTTTCCCTTTTTATAAGGTCTAGTGATTTCTGGGTCCTCAGCTAAAGGGATAGCTCAATTTGGTCATCATTTGCTCACAGTCTAATTGTTCAATACCTTTCATCTATTGAACACACAGAAAGATATTCTGATGAATGTTGGAAAAAAACAACAACCAATGACTTCCATAGTATTTTTTAAAAAATCTGTTCCTACTAATGTGCGTCATGATGGCGCAATAGGTAGCACGAAGGTTGCTGGTTCGATCCTTGGCTGGGTCAGTTGGCATTTTTGTGTGGAGTTTGCATGTTCTCCCTGTGTTGGCATGGATTTCCTCTGGGCGCTCCGGTTTCCCCCACAAGTCCTATATAGGGCACATGCGCTATAGGGGAGCTAATTTGTCTATAGTGTGTGTGTGTGTGTGTGTGTGTGTGTGTGTGTGTGTGTGAATGAGCGTATTTCCTAGTGTTGGGTTGCAGCTGGAAGTGCATCCGCTGTGTAAAACATATGCTGGGTAAGTTGGCAGTTCATTCAGCTGTGGCAACCCCTGATAAATAAAGGGACTGAGCCGAAAAGAAAATGAATGAATGTTCCTATGGAAGTCAATAGTTTTTTTAATGAGCATTTTGGAATAATAAAAGGCTTAATTTAAACACCAAGATGAGCATAAATGACAACTAAGTAGGATAATTTTTGTATCCGATAAGAAAAAATGTGCATAAACTATGATGGGAACACATTCACCGTGCTTCATGCGCTTTAAAAAGAAGTGATGTGATTTTGTTTTAAGAGATCATGCTATGACTATAAAATGGGTGCGATGGGACGTCATTAATGTACGAAGCAGCATTTCAAGCACATTCCCACCAAGCAAAGTTACGTCCAAAAGACGTCTTTCCTACGTCTCTGTCAGACGTTGAAAGTACGTCCTCTGAAGAGCCAGAATGAAAGTTTTTATGACATCTTTTATTGACGTCTTTTCAAAGTCTTTTTTCGATGTCCTTTCGACGTCTTTTTGGCGTCTTTTTGGCGTCTTTTTGACGTCTTTTTACAGTATTTTTGATGTCTTTTTTGTCTTTACTTTTATTTATTTGTATTATGTATTTTTGTGATTCTTTAAAATGACTTAAACACCCATAGGACAAATAAACAGACAGTGCACATTAAATTGAAACATATTTATTTAACGAACAAACAAACAATCCAATTCACAATAAGACCAGAAACATGCATTAAATGGACAGTTCAGCCAAAAATAAATATTTAATAAACACTCAAAACAAATAGAAATGTATATATATATATATATATATATATATATATATATATATATATATATATATATATATATATATATATATATATATATATATAAAAATGTATATAATTAGATTTTTTTTTTCCTCAACAAAATGTATTCTGCGCTGGACCTTGTGTATACGTCCAAAATAGGTCAGATTTGAACGTTGAATTCACGTCCAAAAGTGGTCATAGTCCGACGTCAATATGTCGACCAGATTTGCACGTCCAACTGACGTGCAGATATGGTCACGGACGGACCGACGCAAAATATACGTGATCTGCACGTCCGCACAATGTCTAGTGTTTGGTGGGTTGTAAAACAAATCTAAAATGTTTGTTTGGCCTATTCTAAGATCCCTCAGCTCAAGTCTGTCATCACAATGGTTCAGTATTATTATTAGAGGTGGGTAGTAACGAGTTACATTTACTTCATTACATTTAGTTGAGTAAAATGGGTAAGGAGTACTTTTTGAGTAGATTGAAATATGTGTACTTTTACTCAAGTAAATTATCAGAGAAAATGCATTGCTCTTACTTCGCTACATTTGGTGGCGTTCCTGCTACTGCCAAGTGATAATAAATATGATCCATATGACTTGTTTGCAAATATCGTAAGGCGCCACATTGGAGAGGTTGTGTCGCGAGAGGTTGCTATAGAGACGCGTCTCCCGCTTTCAGTTTGAGCGTGCGCTCCTGTTGGAATAATGGCTGAAGTCTAGGAAGACGTGTGAGTTTATATCAAAGAGCTTAGAATGATCAAGAGGCGACACTCAATAGAACATTCCATTGCAACAGCAGCGCCCAGCATTCAGCCATTTTGGAGTGGAAGCGATCGGCCGTCTATTGGATCTTATTGCTGTTGTGATGGCAAGCAGCTGCTTTGTTTTTTCAATTATTTATTTAAAAAGCGCACTAAAGCTGAGATACAACCTGAAAGACGACAATACAACACTAATTATCACAATCATCAGTACTTTTAATAGTTTATTTAACAGACTTATAATATGCTGTTGTTCTATTAGAGTTTTCGTTCCAAGATGGCCGCCGCGCCATCTAGTGGCTGTTTTACAAATCGCACTAGAGTGTCGCCTCTTGGTGATTCTATGCTCCATGTTTATACTGTGGTCCTGCTCGCCATCTGCAGTTCCGAAAAGGACGGTCACAATGTCTGTGCAGTGAGTTTATCAAACCAGGTCACCCGGCCTCAAGTTCAGTCTCTGTTTTTACTCAAAGATGTCAACAAGATAAGTTTCCTAATGCAACGCATCGCACTGAAATTGCAACATATACATGAGTTACAGCTCCGACCTGAAAAAAAAACACGTAGCATTAAGTGACAATATTATCCATATTTTTAGACTTTATCAATGATAACTATGGGTGACTAAAGAAACTGCTGTTTAATGGAAAAACTGATTAGCCCTGCACACATTAGTCATTTAACCATTAAAAATATCACATTTAAACATTATTTTTAACATACAATTGCTTTAATAGAAAGATATTATCAACACAGGTGACGCAGTGGCGTAGTAGGTAGTGCTGTCGCCTCACAGCAAGAAGGACGCCGGTTCGAGCCTTGGCTGGGTCAGTTGGCGTTTCAATTGTCCTTTTACTCTCTGCAATGTTAGGGAAAGTTTCTTTGAAAAGAAATGTATTAAATGTTGCATTAATCATTAAAAAAGAAAAAGAAATCAAAAGTATCACTGAAGAAAAGTGATGAGTTACTTTTGCACATTTTTTTTTTTAATTTGGGCTCA